TTATATGTAATTATTTTTAATTCGGGCCCCAATTTGTAATTATTTTCATTTTTTGGGCCCTTATATGTAAATTCCCCCCAAAAAAACCTACAAAATAATCAAAATTTAACAATGATTATATTTCTTAAAGAAACCTGTATAAATAAATTATAAAAAAAGTATATAAAGTAAAAATATAATCAGATCATAATATTAATAAATTATATTTATCATAAATAAAATTCAAAAACATAAAGAAAACTCTAATACTAATATTAAAAAAGAGTTATTTTAACTAGCATTCAAAAAAAGAAATTTTGCAAAAAAAACATAATAATTTAAATTTGAAAGATGTAGAATTAGCTAAAGAATATAAAATAAGCAAACAATCAGTATCTGATATTCTAAAATGCTCTAAATACTGGTTAAGTTTTGATGATACTTCTGCATTAATCTAAGCTAAATGTTAAAAAAAGTCTGATTAACTGAACCTTAAAAAAGCAATATTTATTTGGGTTAAACAAGCAATTAAAAATGAACTTACACTTACAGATCATCTTCTTCAAGCCAAAGCTAAAGAATTTATTGATTGAATTGAAATTACTAAATTTAATATATCTGATAGTTGGCTTGCTAACTTCAAAAAAAGAAATCATATTTTTTCATATCAATGTAGAGAGAAGGCTGGTAGTATACTTTTGAATAATATTCAAAATTTTCGTATAGAGCTTCAAAGTATTTTTCAGAATTATAAACCTAAAGATATATTCAATTGCAATAAGACAGCACTTTATTGGTGACTTAAGCTAAATAAAACACTTGCATATAGTCTGATTTTAGGTAATAAAAAATTTACAAATAGGATTATAGTTATCATTACTTGTAATTCTACTAGGAATAAAAAATTGTTACTTCTTTTTATTCACAAGTTTAAGACACTATATGTGCTTCATAGTATTAATAAATCTACTCTTTCTGTTTGGTATTACTGGAATAAAAAAGGATGAATGCAAAGAAGTATATTTAGTATTTTTTAGAATGATTTAATAGTAAAATAAGACTTGTTTAGCAAAATATTATTTTATTTCTTGATAATGCTTCATTATATACTTTAAAAAACATTTAAAATTTATCAAATATTCATATATACTTTTTATCACCAAATACAATATCTCATCTTCAACTTATTGATCAAGGAGTTGGTTATAGCCTCAAAGTAATTATTATATATATATTTTTTTTAAATTACACTAGTTAGATATTATATGATGTGATTATTTTAGCATTTATTAAGTTATCCTTATTTTATTGTAGGCACAATATCGATGTATTTTTTGTTAAAACCGTCTTAATGCTTATGAAGCAATTAATGAAAACAATCTAATTTCTTCTAAAATTACTATATATGATATGATTAATTTTGTAGCTCAAGTCTGAGAAAATGTCATTGCAAGTACAATTATTCATAATTAGAGAAGAGCTAATATACTTTATTCTATAAATTTTGATAACAATCTTATCTCTTTTTCTGAAGAAGCTGACTCTCTGCTTGAAAAAGCTGAATTAGAAGCAGAAATTATAGACCTTATTGAATGCTTACCAATTAATATTCCTCTAAGTATATAAGAATATATTGAGATTGATAATTATGTGAATATTAAGGAAGATTTAAACATTAATGATATTGTTAATGTAGTAAATAGCCAAGATGAGAGTGAATCAGAAGGAGAAAAAGAAGAAATAGTTAAAATTAGTGATGTGATTATAGGGCTAGATAATTTGATAAAATATATTTAACAAAATGATTTGGAAATTACTTTATTTTTAATGAAAGAGCTATATAGTCTTAAAAGATATATCAACTATTTGCATAATGAAAATAAGAGACAAGCTATATTAAAAAAATTTAATTAATCTTAATGTTTAGAAATTTTATTGTTTTAGTAGTTTGTAGTATAATATATATTGCATAAATATAAAAATTTTATATTAAAAATATATGTATAGTTAAACTTTGACATAACTATATTTTATATAAATAAATATTTATTATATATATGCTATATATTAGATTAATATTTGCATTAGGTTAAAGTTATTCTAATTTCTTTAATCCAATATGGGTTTCTACCCTATCTATATTAAACATTGTATTTAAGTTTTGGTCCAACACAAATTTAATATGATACATAATATATATATATCTCAAATAAATAATATGTACTACCTTTCTCACTACTATTTAAATATTATATTAGTTAATAAATAAGTAGTTACTCTGTTTTAAATTAGTTTTTGATATAATGTTATCTGCTCATTCTGCTTTACTCATTAAATAGCTTTTTATAATAGTCAAAAATACAAGCCAGTAACACCTCTAGTTTTTGATTTAGTTTACTAATAATCACAATATAGATATACTTATCTTTGCACTTGGTCATTTATAATTTAGTCTTTGGTCTTAATGACCCTTTTTTGTATATTTCTAACACTTTTAGACCTAATTATATACTTGAATATCTGCTACAAGATTTGTATTATATTACTTTTACTACTCTTTTCATTATTACTAATTAGATAGCATAATAATGGCTCTCTAATTATTCTATATGGTGTAATATAATCAATTTTATTAGTAGATATTTTATTAGTTAAATTTATATTATTATATTTTATTAGTAAATTTTTA